CTATTTTGTAAAGAATGTTTTCTTTCAGTTACTCTAAATAATCAAACTGGCACTTACAATAGGTGTAGTAGTGATAATTTAATTTCAAAGAGGTTTTTACCAGAGAATGATAAAGATCAAGGTATGTAATAAAATATACAGTATATGGTATTAATATATATTAAAATATATTTTGCAAATTTAATATTTATTTTTAAAAGTACCAACCGGGTTACCCAAGTTGAGGAAACATTAATCGCACGAACCTTCTTATGTTAACTGACTTTAATCTTCAAGGCGGGCAACTCGGATATAGAGATGTGATTATTTCACGACTTTAAAGTAAAACGTATGAACATCTTAGTATGCCTTACTTGAGCAATCACAATTCATAAGTAGCAAGGCTTAACATTGCCAAAAACTATAATAAATCTTGAAAATAAGGAATTTGCAACAGGTCTTACATTTGCAGGGTATCAAGAGTTTGTGCTCTAACTGATCTTTTCGACAGATTACAAAATTAGAACATAATATGCGTTTATAACAATGAGCAAAGATTGCTTCCCTTATAAATTATTAATGTAATTCTAAAAGTTATAAAATTTGAATCCAATTTTAATAATTAAAGCCTAAGAATTAGGACTCCAGCCCACAAAATGCCGCCGTTTTTCTAGTATAATACAGTAAGATTATTTATACCTGATACAATTTTGCCGTAACAGTAACTTGCTGAATACTGTTATACTCATTGGGACGATTTGTCGCATCGCTAGTGTAGTTTGTGTGATGATACGAAGCATTATCATAATAATTTACATTATTAAAAAGAGTCTACCTTATGTAATAAAAATATACATATAGAATCTTGATAATGCATTTTGTCCTAATTTATAAATCGCGCCCGATTGAGACCTCATAGCATTTAATCCACTGATCTAAAGTTACGGCATGCAGCTCTTCTACCTAACTCGATCTATAATGAATACACCTACATTTTTATTAACAATACATTCGTTCCACGGATTTTTCCAAAGCTCCAGTGATTCTGATAGAATTTTAGCTCATTATACTGTATATTGCCGTTATTAATTTTTCGGATGGCCACTACTATTTTACATATACGTATTATATAAATATATTTGTTAGGTCATTGAAATATGGGCAGCCATCAATAGAAATCAAGCAAATCTACATTTGAAAAAAAATTAATGCCTTAACTTTCACAGCTCATATCTCGATAAATTTTTAAGCAATCTTGATGATTTAATATTCAAAATAAAGCTTAGGATTTACGCTTTATTTTAAATATTAAATTATTAAAATAGCTTTAAAATCCATCGAGATATGAGCTGTGAAAGTTAAGCCATTAATTTTTTTTCAAATGTAGATTTGCTTGATTTCTATTGACGGCTGCCCATATGGCTGTGTCGAACCGAATGATTATTATTGGATGATCCATTTATAAAACCTGCCAAATCCGGATCCGTTTGGGGACCCGTCCGTTGTAATTTTTTAGTACTGCATTTTTAATAACCTTTTTTATTATTTTTAAATAATTATTGAATTAATGGAACAATAGAACAATAGATTTTTGAGCATCAGCACTAAATTGCCTGCCTAAATAATTTTTAGGGTTTCGGATCAATATTTATCCTATCCGATTTGTTAAATCGGATAATATCTAAAATATCCCGTTCGACCTAGTTGGTCCGTATATATATACAGTATATATATATATAATTATGTATAAGTTTCAAATTTTAAACATGGATTACACAAAGGCATGTTAGTTTATTTCAAAATTAAAAGGTCTACAGCCTGCATTAATTTCACTGTGTAATCTAGGCCAATTAGGTAAATTTAATACTTATTGTTATTCCGATGGAGTACTGGAGTATGTACTCCATAAATTCTATTTTAGGTATTAAAGATAAATACGTAATTACGGAATTTATCCAATTTCCTATAAAGTATAAATAAGCATAAATTGTGAACTCTTTTTATAAAAAATGCTTAATAATGTCTCCTCGTAGATCAGCACGTATTGCTGCTAAGGAAAAATCTAATGTAAAATCTTACAAAGAAGATAGTGAAAGTGATGACCAAATAACAGATAATGTCGGTAAAATTACCAATAAAAGAAGAAAAAAAAATGATGTAATCGATAAATCTACTGATATTACCTCCAAAGGAAGAAAATCAAAGAAAAATGCATCTATCGAGGTTACAATCGATAAAGAAACATCAAACATAAGTCATGAGTTTTCAGCTAAGACTAAAGAATCATCAAATGCAAAAAATAATTCCTCGATCGAGGATTTTAATAACGAATTAAATATTATTTCAAACTCAAAAAAATTTGTTGATAAGGGAAAGTCAAAAGAAATCGTTCACCACTCTGATGGAAGTACGAGTGTTTTTGAAACTATAGATACCGAATGGTTGCAACTTAATAAATATGAACAGCTTCCCAATACTCATAGCATACATGAAGACGACGTAGATGAGAACAATAGT